TATTCCACATTTAAAAGGGTTTAACTAATATAAGGTATGACACAAAAGAAAAATACATCTTGAGAATACCAGGATCTTGGCTAAGGCTGTGGATGCATCAAGAGCTCGATGTTCCAGTTCTACTTCCCTTTCCATTACAGCATATTAAATATTAATTAATTATACAAATCATCATCAATTTATTTAAAAAAAAAGAAAAAAAAAAGAGTATGAAAGAAAAAAGTAAAAGACATGTGAATAAGACCATCTTGGTAGCATTGTGTGCAGTATGCTCTGCTTCTGCTCTTCGTTATGCAAATGCAAGCTCTTCCTTTAAAGCCTACACATTTCCAAATAATTATTTTAAGGACCTAATAACATTACTATAATTATTTAAAAGTCATATTAAAAATTGTGTAGGCGTAGCTCACTTACAGCGGATTTAAAAGAAAACCGGGCTTTGCTCGGAGCAGCGTTTCCGAACCGAAAGACCCTTTTTCTCGGGACTCCGGGAGCCTCGGGGCTTCCTTTGGGTGCTAGGGATTTTTCCTAGGGTTTAGGGTGGTTTGGGATCTTAGAGAGAGAAAGAAACTAGAGAGAGAATTGATTTTGGAGAGATTTACTCGGCAGCCCTCGCAGGGTATTTATAGCCGCTAGCCTCGGACGTACGCTGGGCATAGTCCTTGGCTACGCGGGGCGTAGTCTTCGGATAAGGTCACCAACTCGGATCCAGCTGGCTTGCACGCGCCTACTCTCGGAAGTGGATAAGGCTAAGTACGCCGGGCGTACCCAGCTTCGGACTCGGGGCGTAGTGCGAGGCTACGTGGCGTTCATCGGATGCGAGGCCGTGCTCAGCAAGCGACGGCTGAGATTTGGCCACGTCACCACCCCCTTGCAGATTTCGCAATTTTCCTTCCCGACTTCTAAAAATCATAACTTTCGCATACGAGCTCCGTTTTCGACGTTCTTTATATCCACGCGTAGGCGGGAACGTACTCTACAACTTTCGTTTAGACTCCGTTGGCTAATTTTGAATTTATTTTAAAAGTTATATTTTTAACAGGCCGGGACATGATTGGTCCGTTAAAAATTCATAACTTCTTCATCCGGCGTCTGTTTTCGTCTGTATTTTTATCGTTATGCTACTATTAACGAGATCTTCGATTCTCGTTTAGGTTGTGTTGGCTAAAAACCGCTCGATCTAATATTCGAACTTCGGGCTGTACACTGCTAAGCCGAAACTTCGAAAAATCATAACTTCCTCATACGAAGTCAGATTTGGGCGTTCTTTTTATGGACGCTCTCGGTTTAACGTATTCTATGACTTTTGTTTAGATTGCTAAGGCTAAAAGTCACTCTATCATAAATTCACTATTTACGCTTCCCGGTGCCGTGCCGGTTCATCACGAAACTTCGACGGGTCATAACTTCTTCGTTATAACTCGGATTTCGGCGTTCTTTATATCTCCGGAATCCTTGTTTCGACTAATACAACTTTATGTAAAGATATCGGGCTTATCTCATATTTTAATTTTGACGCTTATTTTTATTCTTTATTAATTATACATTTATAATTAAATAATAAGCACATAAATTCAGATAATTCACAAAATTCACAAAATACTCAAATATTTCATCTTTATTACATCAAAAGAGTTACAATAGTTGACCTAGACTATTACATCGTCTAAAATGCTTAGCCCCGAAACCCGGGCGTTACAATTCTCTTCCCCTTAGGATGATTCCGTCCCGGAATCATGCGTCAGCAAACAGATGCGGATAGCGACTCATCATGTCATCCTCTGTTTCCCAAGTGAGATTCGGCCCATTCGAATGTTTCCATTGGACTAGCACTAAGTCGACCATCTTGCGTCGTAACTTATTAGTCTTACGGTCAACAATTGCCTCGGGCTCTTCAGTCAACCTCTTGTTCTCATCCATTCTTAATTCTGAGATTGGAATTATGTCGGGAACTTCTCCCGTGAATTTTCTCAGATAACACACATGGAAGGTGTTATGAATACCATCGAGTTCTTCGGGCAATTCCAGCTTGTAAGCTTGGTTCCCAATCTTCTGAAGAACTTTGAACGGTCCAATAAACCTTGGACTTAGCTTTCCTCGTTTCCCGAATCTTATAAGTCCCTTCCACGGTGAGACTTTAAGCAAAATCGAATCCCCAACTTCGAAGGTCATCGGTCGTCTCTTCTTATCAGCATAGCTCTTCTGACGATCCTGAGCTGCTAACATTCTTTCCCTAATCACCTTCAGCTTCTCAGCAGTCTCATGGACTATCTCGGGGCCCATAAACTGCTTTTCTCCAGCCTTAAGCCAACAAGACGGTGTACGAAACTTCTGTCCGTACAAGGCTTGATAAGGTGCCATCTTGATGCTTGAGTGGAAACTGCTGTTGTAGGAAAATTCTACCAGAGGTAAGTGCTCATCCCAGTTACCTTGGAACTCGAGGGTACATGCTCTCAGCATATCTTCCAGTGTCTGAATCGTTCTTTCACTCTGACCATCGATCTGCGGATGATAAGTTGTACTCAAACACAACTTCGTACCCAATTCCTCTTGTAGACTCCTCCAAAACCTCGACGTGAAACGACTATCACGATCCGATACCATCGTTAGAGGAACACCGTGAAGTCTCACAATTTCCTTTACGTAAGCATTTGCAAGCTTATCCATAGACCACCTTTCGTTGGCAGCTATGATGTGTGCACTCTTTGTGAAACGATCTACGACCACCCAAATCATGTCGTGACCGTTGGACTGTACAATGCTAAGCCGAAACTTCGAAAAATCATAACTTGCTCATACGAAGTCAGATTTGGGCGTTCTTTTTATGGACGCTCTCGGTTTAACGTATTCTACGACTTTTGTTTAGATTGCTAAGGCTAAAAGTCGCTCTATCGTAAATTCACTATTTATTCTTCCCGGTGTCGTGCCGGTTCATCACGAAACTTCGACGAGTCATAACTTCTTCGTTATAACTCGGATTTCGGCGTTCTTTATATCTCCGGAATCCTTGTTTCGACTACTACAACTTTATGTAAAGATATGGGGCTTATCTCATATTTTAATTTTGACGCTTATTTTTATTCTTTATTAATTATACATTTATAATGAAATAATAAGCACATAAATTCACATAATTCACAAAATACTCAAATATTTCATCTTTATTACATCAAAAGAGTTACAATAGTTGACCTAGACTATTACATCGTCTAAAATGCTTAGCCCCGAAACCCCGGCGTTACAATGGAGTGGACGAAATCTATGGGGAAGCCCATTAGAATTCGTCCAAGGCCTCTAAAAGAGGAGTCAATGGGTTGCTTAGGGCCTAAGCAGTCAAATTAGGGTTTCCTTGTTAGATAACCCTAATAGCCTCACTATTTAAGGACCCCTAGGGCACCAAAAACGTGGCCAACTGATTCCTTAGGGTTTAGACGTTTTTGTGTCCTCTCTCTCGTCCTTCTTCATCCTTGTTGCTTATGGTGTTTGTGACTCCATTAGAGGTGTGACACTTGTGACACTAAGCTTTCAGAATCCAATTACAAGAAGGATGAGATTGTTATTGCTACATAACAATCAAGGTAATATCTAAACCCTAATTCATATGTTATTTGATTATCACATGTTATATATAGGGTTATGGCTTTGGATGATTATTGCATGTTCATTAGACAAACTAGATTCAAAGCTTTAGGGTTTGCATGTACACCATAGGAATGTTGTAGTGCTCATAACCCAACAGAAGGCACCACTAATCAGCAGATGATCAACTGCTATGTTGAAACTGAATCTAAATTTCTAGGAAGGTACATCATAAAACTCTAATTTACTCTAAGTTTCAAGTATTATTTTTGAATGATCTCGTACTTGTTCTTAATAAAATTTTAAGAACAAGTAGTGCCATCTTCTGCTTAAGCTCCACTTCTTTTGCAGTCCTCGCATCAGTTGTTCTCTAATACACACAGAGCACAATTCAAAACTATTACACATTAATCATTATTTTTATAAATCAATTTTTGTATATTCCACATTTAAAAGGGTTTAACTAATATAAGGTATGACACAAAAGAAAAATACATCTTGAGAATACCAGGATCTTGGCTAAGGCTGTGGATGCATCAAGAGCTCGATGTTCCAGTTCTACTTCCCTTTCCATTGCAGCATATTAAATATTAATTAATTATACAAATCATCATCAATTTATTTAAAAAAAAAAGAAAAAAAAAGAGTATGAAAGAAAAAAGTAAAAGACATGTGAATAAGACCATCTTGGTAGCATTGTGTGCAGTATGCTCTGCTTCTGCTCTTTGTTATGCAAATGCAAGCTCTTCCTTTAAAGCCTACACATTTCCAATAATGCCCCCAATGTAAAAAAATAGGACATTTACTTCCATCATTTTATATTTTTCTAGGATGAATTACCTTACTTTGCTTATGAGAACAATTGATAAAATTCAATAACATGAATATATGCATATTTTTTAGGTGTATGCAGGTGTAGGTTAAATTTTCTTATTTATCTGATGGAACAAATGATAAAATTCAAGCTGTGATTGAGGCAAGTGTATGCAGACGCCTTGTTGAGCTTCTTCTGTGTGTTTTTTCATTTCTTTTCTTTATGGTGATTAATTAATTACTTTTAGATTGTGTTTGATATGTGTAATTGAAAAGGGAATGGAATGGAATGGAAAATCAGGTTTGTTTGTCACATGGGAATGGAATGGAGCATTCTTCCACATAATGTGATTATGATTTTCATTCATAAATTACTTTTATTTATACACGGTTAATTAAAAAAAATATTGTTTTTAAAATATTTCAAGATATAAGTTAAACTTATTTCATGTTATTTTCCAAAAATAAATTTTAGTTTATAATTCTATATTAAGATTTCATAGTATTTAATTTTAGAGTAATTACAATTTTGGTCCCAAGACTTCGGCTCTTTTTTTTTTCATTTTTCTTTATCCTAAAATGAATCTATTTGCAAATTTAGAGTAAATATGACTTTCTTCAACAAAGCTAGTGGTATACTAAGGCAGGTGGCTGCAAGTAAACACATCAATCATCAAATGTAAGAAACTACTCTATCAATATATCAAATGAAAGCCATCAAAACAAAAACAAGAAAAAATCACATGTGATTCACATATGAATTACACGTGATTCACATGTAATTCACATCAATCATCAAATTGCATCTTGTTACATGTTTTTCTCTATTGATTCTTAATGGTTTTTTCATTTACAGATCGATCTCAAAGGGAAAAACAATTCAGCAAATTGACCCATTTTCATATAACAATGAATCAAATGGGACTTTGAAAGCAGATTGTTCTGAGCTTGAGGTGAATTTTACTCTTTATCTTTTTTTTCCATTCTGGAAGTTTTGTTGGTTAAAATGGTTTATTCTTTTTTATCAGGTTGTTCGTGTTGAGGGCACATCAATGGGCCTTCTGTATTGTAGATTGGTGCCACTTGTTCTTCTTCTTGTTGATGGTAATATTTTTACCAGTAAGCAATAATTCACAATCTACATATACATTTTCTTAACAACAACTTGAACATGACTATAAGTGTGTAGTGATTTACATGTAAATCACATATGAATTACATGTCATTCACATGTAAATCACATGTGATTCACATATGAATCACATGTGATTCACATGTAAATCACAATTACACGTGATTCACATGTAATTTACATATGAATCACATGTGATTCACATGTAAATCACATGTAATTCACATTAAAATCACATGTGATTCACATGTAAATCGCAATTATACGTGATTCGCATGTAAATCACATGTAACTCACATATGAATAAGATGTGATTCACATGAAATTCACAAGTTGGTCACATATGAATTACATATGATTCACATGTCAATCACAATTACACGTGATTCACATGTAAATCACATATGAATCACATATGATTCACATTTGAATCACATGTGATTCACATATGATTCACATGTGAATCACATGTGATTCATATGTGAATCGCATGTGATTTAGATATGATGTCATATGTAAATGTGATTCATATGTGAATCGCATGTGATTCATATGTGAATCGCATGTTATTCATATGTGAATCACATGTGATTCATATGTTAATCACATGAAAATCACATATGTATTTTTGTGAATGTTTTTGCATCAATCATTTTTTTTTCTTGTAGATTTGGAAGAAAGTTTGGTGAATATTGAAGATGTGAAAAATGATAAATTGAAGAAAATAAGGAAATATTGACACGAAGACATGAAAACACTTTGAAATTTGTAGCATTTTTTATTTTTTATATTTTATTTTGTATCGAATGAAATACTTGTACTATTATGTTTGTATTGAATGAAATACTTGCACTATTAATAAAAAATAAATTTTTTATGATTTACTTACGAATATTATAGTATAAGAAATTTGCATATATGCATTTGAAAAAATATGTATATATGCACCTAAAACTTTGATTTTTATTGTTAAAAAACAAGAGTATTTTTTTTAAAATATTCTAGTTTTTTTTAATTGATTAGTTTTTAAAAATTTACTTTTTAGAAAAAATGTAGTTTTTTTGAAAAATTTGCAGTTTTTTTTAAACGCATTTTTTTAAAAAAGTGCAGTTTCTTTTTTTTGAAAAAAATGTAGCTTTCTTTAAAAAAATTGCTGTTTTCTTTTAAAAAATTGAAGTTTTTTTGAAATAATTGTAGTTTTTTTTGAAAAAATTACGGTTTTTATGAAAAATAATGCAGTTTTTTTTAAAAAAAGTGCAGTTTTTTATTTAAAAATGCAGTTTTTTTTAACAAAAAAGTTGCTGTTTTTTTTTTTGAAAAAAATTCAGTTTTCTTTAAAAAAAATTGCAATTTTTTGAAAAAAAAAATACAGTTTTTTTTTAAATTTGCAGTATTTTGAAAAAATTAAAGTTTTTTTTTCAAAAATTCATGTTTTTTATAAAAAATTAAAAAATCTGCACTTTTAAAAAAAAAAAAAACCGAAAAATATTATTTTTTAAAAAATCTGAAAATTTGATTTATTATGTAAATTTTTAGACATTTATATTAATATATTCAATAACACAAAAAATTAAACATTAAATGAGATTGGTAAGATGACGATCATGCCCTTAATTAATTAATTTTGATTCAACGCTCCACTTTTAGTTCTCGGGCTCTCGGGAAACTTTGAGTCTCAACTGATCTCAACCCTATATATATATATATATATATATATATATATATGTGTGTGTGTGTGTGTGTATATAACATCCCAAAAATACAACCAAAAAATTTTTGTTTGAAAAACTTTACTAAACCATAATATCAATTATTAAAAGATAAAACCATGAATCGTGTATCTCAAAATGTCATAATAAATTTATCAAATCGAAACTAGTGTCAAGATCATATTAAAATATCAGAGTCTAACTCCCAGGCTAAAACTGTGGTGTGTGCCATGCCATCATCCCGAGCCCTTCCCTTTGCTAGCTGAAGTACCTGAAACCAAAACTGAAACTGTAAGCACGAAGCTTAGTGAGCTCCCCCAAACTACCACATACCATACAATAACATATAAAACACATACTGGGCCTCGCCCACTGCACCGGACCGAAGTCCGGAACTGACTAGGGCCTTGCCCACTGCATCGGACCGAAGTCCGGAACTGACTAGGGCCTTGCCCACTGCATCGGACTGAAGTCCGGAACTGCATCGGACCGAAGTCCGGAACTGACTGAACATAGCATAACCTAATCATAGCATATAATATGAACACATATACTACATACTGCATCAGACCATAGTCTGGAACACATAACACATACCATGCCTGTATCACAAAGACACCAAGCATATTGAACTACTGCATCAGACTGTAGTCTGGAACTACTGCTAACTAAACGGGCCGACATTGTGGCTGTAGAACCGTTCCTACTGGAAGGAAACTCACCTCCTTAGGCTGGCTGCTGAAATGTTGCTTGTGAACTGACTGACTGTTGCTCCGGTAACTCCCCCGCTACAATTCCCAAAAGACACTTAATCAGACACTGATAACTAATCTTAGGGTAAAATGACTATTTTACCTCCCCTGGTCAAAGTCAACAATCTGTTGACCTGACTCGCCGAGTTGGGTCGCCAAATCGTCGAGTCCCTATCTTTCCTTCTACTCCCCTTCCCGACTCTACTCGTCGAGTTTAGCGAAGACTCGACGAGTTCTCATTCTATAATAACATCAGGTCAACCTTTATTTGACTCGCCGAGTTGTATGAACAACTCGTCGAGTCCTCCTTCATCATATGAACACGTCCAGTCTGTGACTCGCCGAGTTGTATGAACAACTCGCCGAGTCTGTTCTTACAGGTAAGGAGATTGCCTTGGACTCGCCGAATCCCTCTACACTCAGATATATGTCTTAACTCACCGAGTCTTTACTCCACTCACTAACGGACTCACTACAACTGAACAGGGAATCTAAGACTCGCGACCGGACTCGTCGAGTCCGAAGAACGACTCGCCGAGTCCTTTGCATGCAGTTTCTATTCAGTCGATTCTAATCAGTTTTAGTGCATCCAATTCATAGATCTGGGCTTCTGGGACAATCTGAACACGTAAAGTTGCTAACTTTACGTGTATCTACGATGCAATGAAGCAATAACACTCAAACTTGGCTATAATGGGGGTTACTTGTCTAGAACAAGGCCATGGCTGCCAAAAGGTGGCCTTCTTGAGCTCCTGGAACTCAAGAGAAGCTAGATTCGAGATATGACTTGATTACAAGGCTTCATCACTAGGGATTTGGGGTTTTTGAGCTCAAAACCATCAATTTGGGGACAAACTAGATCTAGCAATACAATAACCAAGATGAAAGCTTTATTACCAGAAAGGATGGCCAAAGAGGAGTATAATCTGGATCTACTTCTTCTTCCTTGAGTTCTTCTACCTTCTCCTTCTTCTTCTTGCTCAACAATGCACCAAGATTCCTTCACAAGGGCAAACATCACTCACACACACTTCTAGGAGGCTAGGGTTTCGGGAATAAGTCTGAGAGGTGAAAGAGGTTGGTTTGGGGCTATAAGGACGTTTAAATAGGGTACAAACCCTAAGAATTAGGGTTTCATCCAGACTGGCAGACTCGCCGAGTCGGGAATGGACTAGTCGAGTCACCCCACTAAGTCCACGTGCATTCCCGCTTCTACTCGACGAGTCGGGGCTACTGACTCGCCGAGTAACCCTAAGAGAGGAAATTCAATATTTAAATTACATACCAGGAATGGGGCGTTACAGTGTATGTGTATGTTGAGCAGCTGGGTCTATGTGTTATTACTGTGTGTATTGAGACTTCGGGTAGTCTCCAAGGTTGTTGATAAACCACATGGCCTGCTGTTTGCCCGTTGAGACTTCAGGTAGTCTCCAGGGTTGCTAATAAACCATAGTTGTTTATTTTGTGTTGTGTTGTATGTGGTATTTTGGGGAACTCACTAAGGTTCGTGCTTACAATTGTTGACTAAATGTGTTTCAGGTACTTCTGATGATCGCGGAAAGGTGAAGGCTTGATTGTACACATTCACCTGCAATTTATGATTTCGGATATTGCGAGACTCTGATATTTTGACGATGACTTGTATTTGACGTTTGCGATTTTCTTGGGATGTTTTTTATGAACAATGGTTTTATATGAATTTAAAAATGAAAAATTTGGTTTGGCAATTTGGATGTTACACTATAAGTCACAAAAGGTCCATGTTCAGAAAACCTTTTTACAGAAAAGGTCTACATAAGTTACCATTTACATAAGATAATGGTCCTTATGTAAATTATAGTTACAGTCCCTATGCATGATTTGTTTTTGCAAAAATAGTCCTTGTAAGTCACCATATATATACCAATTTGACAACTAATGTAAATCCATGAAAGAAAAACTATATCAAAATATTTATTTATGTTACGTACTAACAAAAGAATCCATTAATTAAACCCAAATTAAGAACATTTGAAACTAAATATAACAAATTTGTTAAAAGGACCAACTAATTTCATGAGCTTTTTTCATGTAGACCTCGAAACTCCCAAACCACCATGAGATTCTGTTTTCTTTCCACGTCTCCTAAAATGAATAAAAAAATTATTTGCATCGTTAGTATTGTTGCTGTTTAATGAAATAAAAAAAGGAAATAGAAATTTAAGTAACCTTTTAGAGGTGGATGTTTCACTTCGATTGAAACTATGAGATGCACAATTTTTACATGTCTTTTCACGGTGTTCATATTCACCAGATCACGAACACCTGTGTCTTCTTTTAGATTAATCAGATGATTTAATTCTATTTTTCTTGGTCGTCCAGGCGGGAGTTTGATAATAGGTGAATATATTTTGTCCCTATCTTTTTGCGCCAATTGATCGTGTCCGGGCATCGGAGCAATTTGAAAAAGCATTTGCCGCTTTAAATTTCTCTATAGTGAAATAGGGATGAACATAGTTGTCCCAGTTAGCATCCCTTATAAAAGCAATAAAAGTTGT